AAGTTTACAGATTAAAACAAACTTCAATTGTACAATTACATTGCAATGCTCAAGATGGTTACAGTTATACCTACTGTTACAAATTTGTTTTACAATATCAAACAAAACACAGAGTGGAACCAGTTACTTTACCTTGTCAGTCATTAAATTTAGAGTCAATAAGTATTTAAATCCAAAACAATTTGAAGATGGTTCAGAGTCACTGAACAGGTTTATTGTTCAGTGTACTGTTACTTCACTAGAATTAAGTAAAATGTCACAGTAATCAAATTGCTATGAGCATGGACACCTTCATGATATAAATAAGAGTCGTTGACAAGCATATGCTCAAAACTCTATTCAACTCATGTTGCACTAAAAATGCTCAACTCAGAATTTCAAAAATCACGAAAATGCATTTGACCACTTATAATTCACAGTATTCAGTACCTCCCTCTCTTATCTACACCAATATTTTCATATAGTTGCTGATCTACTTAAACTATGTTTGCTTGTACAGTGGATAAAACGTATAGCTGCCATCCTTGACACATTGCAAGAAGACCAATTATTTCTGCGTTTCTCCTCCCCCTCTTCTTCTAACTTATTGTTCCTTTTTCTGGGGCACAGTTCAACGGGTTCAGCTGTGATACCCCATGAAGACACTGCCAACATTCAGTGTCTGGGCTGAGTGCATATGGAATGATCACTGCAGCAGCTGCAGAACCATAATAATGATTCTTTCAATTTGATTTAAAGTGTCTATCATCGTCGAAACATCGCATCGCCTTCGTAAGTGATAACTGCCAAGTGTAGTAACTGTCTGCAGGTGAAGAAAGCCAACACACAGGTTAGGAGGCAGGTAAAGAGAGGAAACAGGGAGAAAGTTGGCCACAAAAAAAGAAAACTGGGATGAACTTGAAGAAAAGTTGATGATAACATTGCCATTTTTCTCCCCTGAGATCAGGGGAGCTTCCATTTCTTAATCCACTTTTCCCCCCAATTATTATTTATTGTTATTGTTGTTGCGGGGAGGAAGGAGGCCATTCAGCCCCTCGAGCCTGAGCCTGTGCCGGCTCTTTGGAAGAGCTACCGAATGGACCCCCGCACTCTCCCCACCGTGCCCACCCCCCCACACTCTTTTCAATCTACGACTGTTTGTGGGACATTGCTGTGTGCAATTGGCTGCCGCGTTCGCCCACAAATATATACACAGTCACTTCACTTTACAGTATATTCTGTGAAGCGCTTTGGGACGTCCTCCCGACGTGAAAAGCGCTATATCAAATGCAAGGATTATTATTATTGTGCACAAAATAAAGCTGGAGAGAGAGAGAGAGGGGGGGGGGAGAGAGAGAGAGTGGGAGGGGGGGGGGTAAGAAAGAGAAAGACATAGTTGTGTGGTCGTCAAGTCCCAGGTAACAGCAATCTTGGATTCAAACAGCTGCCAACGTGGGCACAGAAACACGAGGAACAAAAGAAACTTCAGAGGGTGGGAATTTCTGTCTGAACCACAGAAATAAACCATGTTGTCGCAGTCTCAAAACGAGGGGGGGGGGAGGGGGAGGGGAGGGAGGAGGAGGAGGAGGGGGGGATACATGTACCAACGTATCTAAACTACAGTTTGAATGACTCCTGGAAAGTTTTGAAGGTGTAGACTTACAGCGCGGGGCTGCATCCTGGCGCTTGTTGTGCTCCAGTGGCGGACACCAGCGGCCTCAGTGAGAGAGGGAGAGGGAGAGGGTGACAGTGACCCAACTGTAACCAGGGGCCGCCGTCACCATGGCGACACCCCCCCCCCCCACACACACCCACACAACCCGTATCCAGGCAACCGAGGCCACACACTCGGCCTTCACCGCCACTCTGCGCCCCATATTTACTGCAACATCAGCTTTTTTGTTTCGTTGAAATAAATAACAGTGCGGGTCACCGTCCCCACGTGTGTTTGCATGTCTGTGTCCGTCTGGGTGTTGTTGTGCCGGGAGGGTGGGGGGGGAGAGAGGGAAATCCCTTCACATTCCGCTGATATCTATCTTTCTTTTCTGAATTTCTACCGTTTGTTGTTATTCTTGCAGTTGTTGTTGTTATTGTCATAAACACTATTGTTATCGGGAGGTTTTGTGAAGCGCCCACCGCGATGCGAGACACCAGATGTCGGACTGGGTTAGTGTGGGGGGCGGTGAGTGTTGAGTGTAGGGGGTGATGTCTGTTGGGGGAGAGGGTTGTGTGTGTTGAGGATGGTGTGTGGTGGGGGGAGGGGGTGTATGTGTTGAGGATGGCGAGTGTGGTGGGGGGAGCGTTGTGTGTGTTGAGGATGGTGTGTGTTGAGGATGGCGAGTGTGGTGTGTGGGGGGGTATATGTGTTGGGGATGGAGAGTGGTGGGGGGGGGGGGAGGGTTGTGTGTGATGAGGATGGTGTGTGGTGGTGGGGGGAGGGTTGTATGTGTTGAGGATGGTGTGTGTTGTGGGGGGGAGGGGAGGGTTGTATGTGTTGAGGATGGAGAGTGTGGTGGTGGTGGGGGGAGGGTTGTGTGTGTTGAGGATGGAGAGTGTGGTGGTGGTGGGGGGAGGGTTGTGTGTGTTGAGGTTGGAGAGTGTGGTGGTGGTGGGGGAGAGGGTTGTGTGTGTTGAGGATGGAGAGTGTGGTGGTGGGGGGGGAGGGTTGTGTGTGTTGAGGATGGTGTGTGGTGGTGGTGGGGAGGGTTGTGTGTGTTGAGGATGGTGTGTGTTGTGGGGGAGGGTTGTGTGTGTTGAGGATGGTGTGTGTTGTGGTGGTGGGGGGGGAGGGTTGTGTGTGTTGAGGATGGGTGTGGTGGTGGTGGGGGAGGGTTGTGTGTGTTGAGGATGGTGGTGTGTTGGTGGGGGGAGGGTTGTGTGTGTTGAGGATGGTGTGTGTTGTGGGGGACGGTTGTGTGTGTTGAGGATGGGTGTGTGTGTGGGTGGTGGTGGGGGAGGGTTGTGTGTGGGGAGTGGGGAGGGTTGTGTGTGTTGAGGATGGAGAGTGTGGTGGTGGTGGGGGGAGGGTTGTGTGTGTTGAGGATAGTGTGTGGTGGTGGGGGGAGGGTTGTGTGTGTTGAGGATGGTGTGTGGTGTGGGGGGGAGGGTTGTGTGTGTTGAGGATGGTGTGTGGTGGTGGGGGGGGGGAGGGTTGTGTGTGTTGAGGATGGTGTGTGGTGGTGGGGGGGGGGGAGGGTTGTGTGTGTTGAGGATGGTGTGTGGTGGTGGGGGGGGGAGGGTTGTGTGTGTTGAGGATGGAGAGTGTGGTGGTGGGGGGAGGGTTGTGTGTGTTGAGGATGGTGTGTGTTGTGGGGGGGGAGGGTTGTGTGTGATGAGGATGGAGAGTGTGGTGGTGGGGGGGAGGGTTGTGTGTGTTGAGGATGGTGTGTGGTGGTGGGGGGGAGGGTTGTGTGTGTTGAGGATGGGTGTGTGGGGGTGGGGGGGAGGGTTGTGTGTGTTGAGGATGGGAGTGTGGGGGGGGGGGAGGGTTGTGTGTGTTGAGGATGGAGAGTGTGGGTGGGGGGGAGGGTTGTGTGTGTTGAGGATGGTGTGTGGTGGTGGGGAGGGGAGGGTTGTGTGTGTTGAGGATGGTGTGTGGTGGTGGGGGGGAGGGTTGTGTGTGTTGAGGATGGTGTGTGGTGGTGGGGGGAGGGTTGTGTGTGATGAGGATGGTGTGTGGTGGTGGGGGATGGGTTGTGTGTGTTGAGGATGGTGTGTAGTGGTGGGGGGGGAGGGTTGTGTGTGTTGAGGATGGAGAGTGTGGTGGTGGTGGGGGGAGGGTTGTGTGTGTTGAGGATGGTGTGTGGTAGTGGTGGTGGGGGGAGGGTTGTGTGTGTTGAGGATGGAGAGTGTGGGGTGGGGGGGGGAGGGTTGTGTGTGATGAGGATCGTGTGTGGTGGGGGGGGGGAGGGTTGTGTGTGTTGAGGATGGTGTGTGGTGGTGGGGAGGGGGAGGGTTGTGTGTGTTGAGGGTTGTGTGTGATGAGGATGGTGTGTGGTGGTGGGGAGGGGGAGGGTTGTGTGTGTTGAGGATGGAGAGTGTGGTGGTGGTGGGGGAGGGTTGTGTGTGATGAGGATGGTGTGTGGTGGTGGGGGGAGGGTTGTGTGTGATGAGGATGGTGTGTGGTGGTGGGAGGGGGAGGGTTGTGTGTGTTGAGGATGGTGTGTAGGTGGTGGGAGGGGGAGGGTTGTGTGTGATGAGGATGGTGTGTGGTGGTGGGGAGGGGGAGGGTTGTGTGTGTTGAGGATGGTGTGTGTTGTGTTGTGGGGGAGGGTTGTGTGTGATGAGGATGGTGTGTGTTGTGTTGTGGGGGAGGGTTGTGTGTGATGAGGATGGAGAGTGTGGTGGTGGTGGGGGGAGGGTTGTGTGTGTTGAGGATGGTGTGTGGTGGTGGGGAGGGGGAGAGTTGTGTGTGTTGAGGATGGAGAGTGTGGTGGTGGTGGGGGGAGGGTTGTGTGTGTTGAGGATGGTGTGTGTTGTGGTGTTGGGGGGGAGGGTTGTGTGTGTTGAGGATGGTGTGTGGTGGTGGGGAGGGGGAGGGTTGTGTGTGATGAGGATGGTGTGTGGTGGTGGGGAGGGGGAGGGTTGTGTGTGATGAGGATGGAGAGTGTGGTGGTGGTGTTGTGGGGGGGGAGTGGGGAGTGTAACATCGCGAGATGTGCGGGCGGTGTGTGTCTGGCAGCTGGTGGCTGACCTGTGACCTCTGCCCTGTGACCGCGGGCGGTGCCGGGGGGGGCGGTGCGCGCCGGGGATGCCGGGTATTGTATTGTTTTGAGCGGTGTGGGGGTGGGGAGCTGTCAGCTGGAGCTTTGCTGGAGATGCCTCTGTACTGTATGTCTCAGTGTTATTGTTATCTTTTCGTACAGTTCCTGGGGTTTTTTTGAGTGTTACTGCGGGGCGAGGAGGAGGAGGAGGAGGAGGAGGGGGGGGGCGTTGGTTTTCTTTCCTTTCATATCATTACTATTATTATTGTATTTTATGTTCCTCTCAACGACCAAACCAAAACATTTCTGAGTGGGGGGGGGGGGGGGGGGGAGGAAAGGAGAAAGAATGAAAGACAAAAGAAAAAAGAAGGACCGCACTTGGGCGGAGGCGGCCCGCTTGGTATGCCTTTTTAATCTTTAAATTATTATTATTATTTTAAAAAAAAATCCCGGTCAGAGCAGAGCCAGAGCTCAAGAGGATGCAGTGGGGGTTCGCTGTCTTGTCTGTCTTGTCTGTCTGTCTGTCTGTCTGCCCGGGGCTTTGTTTACTGGGGCTGGAGCAACGGTCTTTGGCTTTGTGAAGTTGCTGTGGATTTTTTTTTAAAAAAAAAGAACAACTCAACACGAAAGAGAACGAAAGATAATGCTAACCCTACTGAGAAGTGTGTGTGTGTGGTGTGTATATGTACACACACACACAGTGTATGTTATTATGTATATATATGTATATATAGGAAAGGAAATAAACTAACCCTGTGCAAATCAGTGTTTGTAATAGTTGGTTGCAGTGCTGTCAATTGTTTTCATTGCAAACAATAAATTGTTGGTGTGTTCTCAAAATTCACGTCCACAGTTGTTTACACTGGGTTGCAGTATTTCTATGCTGATTTGGGCTGATTGAAGAGCAAGTATGAATTAGAATCAGCAGCTATCAAATTGTCTCCCTTCATGGAGGAGTTCTGATGAGAAAACATTTTGGAAGCTGATGCAATATAATTCTATAGTACTTAGTAAATATCCTGGCAGCATTACTGTCACACACAAAAAAAACACTGTCTTATCTTCCCCCATCATTTTATGCTGTCCAAATCTGTATGTTTACACCAAAGTCGCCATGGGAGACCTAAACTCTTAACAGCAAAACATCACAGTGGGAAAATGGAGGTTCTACCCACATTTCTGGGTGTATTGGTGTCATTTAAAGAAACACAGTAGACAGTTTTGTATATCTTTAAAGTTTTATGTACGTATATATTGAAAGAAATCTATCTCGAGTGGTGGTGTATTGGTTTAGAGTGACAACCTTTCACATTTAGGACACGGGTTTAAATCCAGCCCAGATTGAAGGATAAGCAGCTGTCAAATGTAAAAGTCCGAAAAGCAGTAAGTTTGTGTATCTCAGTTGTCCAGTTCCTGGGGGGAAAGCTCCTTCAGGCACTAATAATACTTATATTGTAGTTTGGCGCAAGTTAGGACAGTACAAATTGCAAAATGGCAATCTTGCTCAGAAAAATCACAAAGATAGTTGGTGTGAGAAGTATATAAAAAAAACTTGTGCAATGTTCTGTGGAGGTTGGGGATAAGATACACTATTGGTAGAGAAGAGCTCTGCAGCTGGCTGCTCTCTCTGGGCCTCAAAGGTGATAGAGAGTAACAAAAATTGAAGCACTGAGGAATATACCTTGAAGAGTACAAAAAAATCAAGCATTTTCCATATATATGTAAAAATATATAATCGATTTTGTGGAAGTCGTTTATGGAAAAAAAACTAAGTGATGTCTGACTGAATAATTTGCAAGTATAGAAAATGTTTTATTTTTAGGTGAAGTTCTTATTTTTACCACACATAGTGATCTAGATTATGAAGCAAATAGTGCTGTGATTTTAGTAAACTTACCAATGTGAAAGTCATTTAAGTGACAGTCTGATTCAGATGTGATGTGGAACGAACCCTTAGTTTAAGTTGTGCTGCTGAAGAGCTCAGAGCACACTTGCTAGAGCTGGAGGAACAGGCCCAGTGAAATGGAAAGTGATTAAACTGAAGTGCAGTAAATGGGGAGTCATGGCATTAGAAGGCTTAACTTGGTATGAGTTTACTATAAATTCCTCAGTGGATATATTTTTTAAAAAATCTCTTGATGCAGAGAAAATATGGAGACAGGAGAAAATGTAGGTTCTTCGTGACTGTTAGATGGGTAGGCGTGATATATTGAGAGTAACGTTGGCGACAAAGGGAGAGGGGCGGCATAGAGAAGGGACAATGGAAGAAAGAGGTCAGGATTTTCATTGTCTGAGATTTTTTTTAAAAAATTGTAATTCAAATGTCTCAAGGCGTTGGGGGTGGGGTTGGGCGGGTGAGGAGATGGAGAGTAAATTCATTTTAGATGTGAGTTGATCTTGCCGATCAAAAAAAAAACTATATTTTGCCTTCCTGAGTCTCCTGCTTGCTCTCCCCACGATTGGAATGCTGGAACAGTAAGGAAGAATTTAAGGGTGAAACTAAAGTGTTCAAAAGAAATGCCAACAAAAACTAAGCCATTGTTTCAGCTCCATTTATTACAGAGGGCTGTAATACATTCTTAGTTCAAGCTGACTTTATAAGTTGCTTTGAAAGTCATTGTGACCGTTTATGACCTCATTTGAATCGCTATAACCTAGTAACCATAGACCGAGCAAGAGAGCTGCTATTCTATTTGTGATGGTTGGAAACTGGTATGTGAGGTCCTTAATGGTGCACTTTTACTGAATCCAGCAGCTTTACATTGCTGCAATTTTGAGAGTTGCAAGTCAGCAGCACCAAATTAGCCTGCCTCATCCACAGTGTTAAAGAACGAAGCGTTTTAGGCAAACATGAAGTCCCCATGCAGAATTCTGTTCGCTGTTTTTGGTATACTGGTGAAATTGACTATTCAAAGTGAAATCCATTGCAAACTCAAAGAAGCAAGGGATTATTTCCTTGAGATGGCTTCAAGCTCAGCGTTATATATCGAACTGACATCAATTTGGATGAAGTTGCATTTTGTGTCGCTAATGAATTGTTAAAAAACTGCAATGTTATTCCAGCAGTAAAGTGATTAGAGCAGGACCTTTAATTTATTCTTGCCTCTACTAATTGCATGATGCAGGGTAAAATTTGAGGAATTCTTTACATGGGCAATTAGACACATCCACAAAGTGCATGTACAGAATTCTGATCCAAGTCAAACTGACTCTTCAATAATGCTTAAGATTGGTCCCCTGAAAGTTGAAGGGGTGCAATGGGTGTCAGTCAATCTGAATGAAGCTCCAAATGCTTCTCATCCACTGCATTAATCGCTATCGCTGATTGAGCCACTCAATCGTAATGTATACTTGACATTTCATGGTGATTCATAGTATAAACCAAGCATAGGAATCTCAAACCATTTTTTAGCAATGTGAGATGTGTAGTACTGTATAACTATTCTATGTTTGCAGACTATTCTCTGTATTGTAAGAACTATAGATTTACTTCATTAGAGTTGTGAAGGCCAATTTTAGGATAGACACCAGGGAATTTTTTTTACACAGAGTGTGGTCAGCAACTGGAATGGCCTATCAGATAAGATGGTAGAATCCAAGACTTTGGACTCATTTGACATGTTGATGCTATAATGGAAATATAGTAGAGGTAGGTGGTATTCTGAAAGGATGAGATCAAATAAAGTGACCAGCATATATATATATATATATATATATATATATAGTGTATGCTAGCTTTGTTTAGTTGTTAGCACTGTCATCTTTGGGTCAGAAGATTGTGCTTGGTTGTTTGCTCATAGTTTATATTGACACTCCAATGCAGTAATCGAAAACACTGCATTCTCATGGGAGACGGTGTTTGGAAGAGCCTTTAAATCAAGATCCCTTATGCCTGTTCTGGTGGATATTAAAGATCCCTTGACTATTCCTCCAGGGTCTGGCCAATGGTCCTGCAGATAAATTGGTAATTTGCTTAATATATTACAGTATATTCTGTGAAGCACTTTGGGACGTCTAGAAGACGTGAAAAGCGCTATATCAAATGCAAGGATTATTATTATTAATGGCGGTTTGTGGGAACTTGCTGATCAAATTAGCACTGTTCCCTGAATGTGGCAGAGTTGAAATCCCGACATCATTCTCAGTTCTGATGTTTGTGAAGCTATGTCTTCTGGACATTTAGCTTGCGGATCTAAGCATTCGACTATCAGTTAATGGAGTAGTGGCTGCTCAGAGGTTTTATTCAGTTAGCAGGCTTGTATCTCGCTGGCCAGTAATCAAATACTGCAATCCGGAAGACTTGGCTTGACAGACATCAAGAACAGTTTTGAGATCCGAGGACCATTCAACTTGGATCAATATCAAATGTATTGTTAAACCAATCGGAATATTTATGTGATATGAAAGTCAGCTTCTATGCACCTTTTCGAGGCTTCAGCCTGTTTGGCTAATTGGGGAAGAAACCAAATACGTTTTCAAACCAAAGAAGCATAAGTTCAGTTGGTAACACTCTCACCTCTGACTCGGAAGGTTGTGGTTTCAAGACCCACATTGGGATTTTTAAATTTTATAATCTAAGATGACACTCCAGAACAGTGCTACGGTGTGCTGGGTTGTTGGAAGTGCCATACTTCAAACAAAACATTAACCTGAGGTCCTGTCTGCCTGTTAAGGTAGAACATAAATATTCCATAGAACTATTCAAAAAGAGGGAGGTTTTCCTGGTCAACAATCCCCTAAATAAAATTAGACATTAATTTCACAGCTGTTTGTGGGATATTCCTGTGTGCACATATATTCACCTACAAAATACACAGTCACTACACTTTACCGTATATCCTATAAGAGCTTTGATGCATCCTCCCAATGTGAAAGGCATAATATCAAATGCAAAAATGATTATTATAAATAAATGATCCCTTTAGTATTGTTGAAATTCAGGTGTTATTTTACTCCTGATTTTCGTCATAGGTCATAATTATTTTGGCAACAGAAAGTGTGAAACAGCAATTTAACGTCTATTTTGGACCTGAAGTTTTAGCAACATAGTTTCCATGTTGTTCCCCCTGTCCCTCAACACAAATCTATAGTGAAATACATAGTTGCTGTGATGGCATTCCTGGAGTTTGGGATTACTTTGCTGTAATCAGTTACTTATTCAAGTATTGCTTTACTATTAATTTGTGAAGGGAAAATAATGCAGTGCCTCTCCTATGCTATGTGCCACAATATGTGCTTCTAAGATAGGCTGACTAACATGTGCCCCACACTTAGCCTTGTTCCAGTGGCAAGTTTGTTCCAAAACTTTTGGAGGAGCAGAAGATACTGTGTGACTTCTTGCTTCAGCGTTTACTTTTCCGAGATAGGGCAGTTGAATGCACAGAAATACATTCAATGTTT